TCATGATCTCATGGTTTGTGAGATTGAGCCCTGCATCGGGCTCTACGCTGACAGTGTGGAGCCTGCTTGGGATTGTCTCTCTGCATCTCTGTCTGCATATCTCTCCCCCCACCCCCGACTCTCAAAACAAATAAATAAACTTTAAAAAAAGGAAAAAAATAAATGCCTTTCTGTAAGCCATAAATTGACAAATGATCATAAGGCGTGTTGACCAGTTGGAGGCAACATGAGGCTGACCTAGAGGGGAAGAGATATAGAACTTGGTCTTGTATGAGTCCTTTACTTCTAGGCAGAGGTTGCAAAACTGACTTGGTAACAGTGGCAGACACCAGAGAAGCTGCTAGACCAGTGGGACAGTGTTCGCTCAGAAGGTCATAAGCTCAACCAACCCAAAAAAATGTTGGCCTCCCTGGTTTTTGGAAGAAATATGTACTATGTAAGTATAGCTGACTCCTGTGTTGGGCAAACCCCCAAATCACAATCGCTTAATATCCTGACTGGAGACTAATTTGCCACTCACATAAAAGGAGGTGTTGCTTGCACTTTAAAAAATCAAGGGGCGCCTGGGTGGCGCAGTCGGTTAAGCGTCCGACTTCAGCCAGGTCACGATCTCGCGGTCCGTGAGTTTGAGCCCCGCGTCGGGCTCTGGGCTGATGGCTCAGAGCCTGGAGCCTGTTTCCGATTCTGTGTCTCCCTCTCTCTCTGCCCCTCCCCCGTTCATGCTCTGTCTCTCTCTGTCCCAAAAATAAATAAAAAACGTTGAAAAAAAAATTTTAAAAAAGTCAATCAAGGACACAGGTTGATGGAGAATCTACCACTTTAATACAACCAATATTAGCCAAATGGTGCCATCCAGTTGGCTCTGTGCAGGTTTTTATGAGCCAGTTTGGAAGTAGCACCCATCCTTCCATCATCTATATTATACAAAATTTAGTCCCATGTTCCCAGTTCAGTGCAAGATGGTTGAGCAGCAAATGTATTCTCTAGATGGCCAGTTATTCTTAGCAACAGTGTTACGCTATAGAGAAAAAGGAGTATTACATCTGTGGTGAACAGATAGAAATCATGACCACAAGTTCCCAGGATGCCGGTGAGCAAATGATATGCAATGGCAAGGATTGAAGGGCAACTGATACTCAGGAGCTAGACAAGTGGCTATATAGAGGGCACACCAGCACTGGGCCAAAGTAGGGACCAAGACATTGTCCATGGAAGAGAGCACAACAAGAGCATAATGGGAAAGCACAGACCTGTGGTTTAGGATAGGACTCTGGTCCTGAAAAAGAATTTTAATTTCTCACAAGGTAAACGTCAGAAAATTAGACTAGGGTCCTAGGGAAAAATCTTGTTGTATGATTAGGCACTAAGCAGAGGAGATGAAGGGAAGAATTGCAAGTTGCAGGAATCATGGAATCAAGATGGGAGGAGGGTACACCAAGACCTGCATCTGACTGTCAAACAGAAATACTTGGGAACAGATTCCTAGAAGTTCTGTGACTGGCCCACTGGCAGTAGTACATAGGCTAATTTCTGAGCTACTCTGAAATGAGTGTGCTGGCGTTGCCGATAATTCTCTGCCTCAGTTGGGATTGTCTGAGTAACTGTGGCAGGGTGCAGCCTGGAAAAGGGGCTCATCTGTGAACTGAGCTGTCAGATTTTGGAGAGGGTAGAGCAAAAAACAGTAGCTGGGATTTGTATTAGGAAAATGTGACTAAGGAAATTGAAAACTACTTCTGCAAAGAGCATCACTCACAATGAAAATGTGGGAGTCCAAATGCCCAATAATAACCTGCCATTTTCCGCACAGTTGAGAGCCTGTAAAGAACCTCAGGAAAGCAAATGGCAAACCTTAAACCCAAGATTTCAGTGACTGACCTGCTTTTCCTCAAATATTCTGATCAGCTGCATGGTGTAGTTGCCAACTGGGCATCCACTTGAAAGTTGGGTAAATCTAGGTTCAAATTGCAGCTCTTTAGGCAGATTACTTAATCTTTCTGAATCTCAGCTTCTTTATCTATAAAATGGAATTTATGCACGCTGGAGGTGTTTTTGGTTTGAGAATTAAATGATATGAAGTATATGAACACCTAACACAGTAGTTGGCACATAATAGGTGTTTATTTTATGTTAATTTCTGTCTCCATCTTCTTAGCTGCCAAGAGTAGAGAGGGTCATCAGACACTACTTAGGATCTTTTAAGGATTATCATATAGACTTAGTCACTCTGTCTACCAATCTCATTTCTCATCCTTTCACCCCATTCAAAATCACATTATGGTCACAGCATAAGTGTATTTTAAAATTGCAAATTTGTGGGGTGCCTGGGTGGCTCAGTCTGTTGAGTGTCCGACTTCAGCTCAGGTCATGATCTCATAGTTCATGGGTTCTAGCCCCATGTCAGGTTCTGTGCTGACAGCTTGGAGCATGGAGCCTGCTTCGGAGTCTGTGTCTCCCCCTCTGTCTCTGCCCCTCCCCTGCTCATGCTCTGTCTCTCTTTCAAAAATAAATAAATATTTAAAAAAAATTTTTTTAATTGCAAATTTGAGGGATGCCTGCATGACTCTTGATTTAGGCTCAGGTCATGATCTCAAAGGTTGTGAGATCAAGCCCCACATCAGACTTTGCAATGGGTGTGGAATCTGCTCCTGGGGTGCCTGAGTGGCTCAGTCAGTCAAGTGTCCAACTTCGGCTCAGGTCATGATCTCGTAGTCTGTGAGTTCGAGCCCAGCATCGGGCTCTGTGCTAACAGCTCAGAGCCCGGAGCCTGCTTCAGATTCTGGATCTCCCTTTCTCTGCCCCTCCCCCACTCACATGGGTGGGTGGGTCGGTGTGTGTGCGCAGGCGTGCACTTTCTCTCTCTCAAAAAATGCAAATTTCAACAATTGTTTTCCTATTGACTTAAGAGTAATTTATTCATGAAACAAATACCCATGTGCCAGTTCTGGTTCACTGTGCTGGGGATTGCAGCACTGGGGGGAGGTAGATACTTGCCCTCTTCTCATGGAGTTTACAATGCAACTGAGCGACAAGAGACAGTAAACAAGCAAATAGGTAATATTGTATGTTGATGAGTTCGCTGAAGACATACAAATGAGAGATGTTTTCCACATTAATGATGTATTTAGTCAGAACAACTGGTTGCTCCTCTGTCCAGCAGTGACTCAGCCTGGTTATTCTACAGCTATAAACACTGCAGTCTTGTCCTCATGGGTCTCTGGGAGGTGTGACTCTTATGGGGTAAAGGGTAGCATGGAAAAGTAGAGAAAGGATGAGGTCCTATATTGCAAGCATGGTCCACAAAGACCTGTGGGATCTCACCTGTGCCTGCCTCTCTAGTCCCATCACCCTCCACTGGTGCATAGGCTCTCTCTGCTCTAATACAGTATATTTCAGTCACATCCCTGAGTGTGGAGCATCTTACCATCACTGCACTACTGCCTCCTACTACTCTTAACTTGCATGCGTCAAATCACTTGCAATGTCTGCACGTCTGAGGGGCCAAACGCCGTTTGGGTTCTTCATGTGTGAATCCCCTCAGTTCCTATGAGCACAATAGGTGGCACATCGGAGGAATTTCAGTTAATATCTGTCATTGCCCAGGTGGCTCTGGATCATAGAAGAAAGCTGGAAGTGGAAGAGCCTGCAGACTGGATCACAAGCCCAAAGGCAGCCAACCCCTGCCAGTGGCTGGTTTCCTGGCCCTCTAACTAAATGCATATGTCTTAGGTACATTACCTTAGAACGTATTCAATGCAAAGGAATCAGATCCGTTCATTATTATTTTTGTCTGGCAGTCCTAATTCTGCCACTGTACCAAGTCAGTGAAACATGACAGATCTCCGTGTCGTGCTAATATACTACCTTGACAAATAAGACCCCTATTTGTAAGTTTAGCATTAAAGTATTACTTTAATTTTTCAAGCAGTTCTGTTAGTGCTGTGGACTGCACAGACCCTGGTTGTCTATTAGGAAGACAAAAACAAACAAATGAAAAAACATTTCCAAATCTGAATCCCACTATTGGAGAATTCTAGGCTATTAGAGTTTGAACTTAAATTCACCTTTTCTAAGCCAGAGAATAATAAACAAAGAGAAACAATCAAAGGTTTCCTAAGGAAGTAATTGTGTGAACTAAGGTACCAGTGGGA